CACTGGAAGTCTGCCACCTGGGTGCCTGTGTCTGAGTCAGCTTAGGTTGGGACACACACACACACACACACACACACACACACACACACACACACACACACACACACACACTGGAAGTCTGCCACCTGGGTGCCGGCAGAGCTGGTGTCACTGAGGCCTGGCTCCTTGGTGCCCAGCTACCACCAGTACCTTGCCCTCGCATGGTCTTTCCTCTGTGAATCTGCATCTTAATGTCCTTTTCCTATGGTGCTGTTTATTAGAGTACCCACCCTCTTAGTGACCTTACTTAATCACTTCTGTAGAGACCCTGTCTCCATACAGAGCCACATTCTGAAGTCCCAGGGGTTAGAACTTTGACATAGGAATTTTTGTGTGTGTGTGTGTGTGTGTGTGTTGCACAATTTAGCTCATAACACACAGGGTGGAGTCAACCAAACACTAAAAATCAAGCCTGGGTGAGAGCAGTCTGGTGAGGGAGCAACCTCCCCCTGCTCTCACACCTCTGCCACGAAGGCCATGTGGGTGATGTCATGGGGCAGGGGGCTGCTCTGCCTGTCCGTAGCTCCTGGGTCCTCCAGGTGAGCGACTCCATCCTCTCGGTAACCACTCAGGAGCTGCAACTCTGCCCAATCGACTCTGACGAATTGTGTGAATCAGGCTCTCCACAGCTGCCCTTTAGGGTTGAGTCATTTGCTCTGGTGGTTCCCAGGACTCAGGGAAGGTGACGGTGGTTGTATGCCACTGTGAGTAGACTTAATACAGCTGCTTCTGCACTTAGAAATGATGATAGTGGGACATGTATGTTCTGTACATTTTGCCATGATAAAAAACAACAACAAAAACACCCCGAGCTGGGTGTGGTGGCTCATGCCTGCAATCCTAGCTACTCAGAGACAGACATGTGAGGATCGCAGTTCAAAGCTAGTCCCAATAGGAAATTCTGTGAGGCTCTTACCTCCAGTAAACCACCAGAAAACCGGAAGTGGAGCTGTAGCTCAAACTGATAGAGTGAAGCAAGCTTGAGCAAAAAGAGCCCAAGGACAGTGCCCAGGCCCTGAGTTCAAGCCCCACAACCAACCAGAAACAAAACAAACGAACCAAAAACACCCAAGACTAATAGGAAAGAAGAAGAAAATCCAAGATTATTTCATCCGAGGCTCAGATAGAATTCTGGACCCATGGACTGATGAGGTTCAGCTGGGGTCTGGGGAGTGGGCTGTCCGGTGTACCCCTGCGGGTCCAGCGGCCTGGGGTGAGGTCCCTCTACTCGGACAGGCCAGGTGCCGGGGACTTTATGTGACCAAAGCTGGGACCTTAGATCTTACTTGGAGCCTTGGGACAGAGAGAGCCATCCAGCTAGAGCCCAGGTCCTGTCACTTACAGATGGAGAGGTGACCAGGGCTGTGTTGGCCAGGAGTCTGAGGTTTCCTTGCTTGGTCGAGATGCTGCATGGAGCTGCTGAGCCGGATTTCGCCTCTTCCCCACGGGCGGGCTGTGTCCTGCTGTCTTGGAGCCTCGGTTTCTCCATCTGGAGAATGTTGTTGATGTGCCTCAGAAAGATGGGCAGCTAGGGCACAGGAGTAGCCATGTACCCGGCACACAGTAGGTATGTGACAGACGGCAACGATGCTTCCCTTTCTCAGGACTCATGCCAATGTGCAGTCTTCAAACAGATTTTAGTGTCTACCTACTGTGCTCTGGTTCTGTGTTGGGGTGCACGTGATGAATAAGAGTGGCTTCCTGCCCTGTGACCTTTGGTTTAGAGAGAAGGAAACAGTTTCTAGACAAGGAGGCATGTGTGTATCGTTATAAATTGTGATTAAGTCTGTGAAGGAAGAGAAAGGGGCGTGTGTGTGTGTGTGTGTGTGTGTGTGTGTGTGCGCGCGCTCTCACAAAGCTTAGAGACTCAGGGAGTCCCCTTTAGAGTGGTAACGTAAAGCTGCAACCTAAAGGAGGAGAACACAGCCATATAGATAGCTGAAGCAGAGGGAACAGCATATGCAAAGGCCCTGAGGTCAAACACAGCTAGGCTCTCCAAGGACGGAGAGGAGCTCCCTGCTTGTGCAGGGCTTTGGGTTGAGAGGACACTAGAGCCAGGTCATGCGGGAAGCTCTGCAGCCATACTGGGCACCGTCTGGCTGCTGTCTGGCGCTCTTAGACCCTCTCCTCCTGGCACCTCGCTGTGGACTGTGATGTTGGCATCGTGCCCGGGGACGCTTGAAGTTGAGAGCCTACTCGAGGTGTGGGCTGATGAATGCCAGGCGTGGGTCCTTGGGTCTGGGAACACCCTCAAACCCAGCCACATCCCAGACAGAGGTCACTGCTCCACTGTGGTGCTGGGAAGACTGAGACCGCCAGGATCTCAGTTTCTCCATCTATGAAAGCTACCAAATGAGCCCCAGTGCAGGCTGGGTACTGAGGCATGAAGAATTCAGCACAGGGCTGCCTCCCACCTCTGGGCCCTCTGGAGCCTCCTGGGAATGTCTCTCAGCCCCCTCTGGGTCCACATCCTGCTCCTCGTGGCCTCTGTTTCCTCCTCTGCCCAGAGGGGGCGTAATCCTGGCGTTCGTGGTGTCAGGGGTGACATGGGTGGGTTTGTGGTGGCTTGGGCCCCGTGAGTCCCTCATCTAGAGACCGTTGGCGGTACGCGCTGCTGGAGGAAGCTGCCTGCCCGAGGCTGATTGCGTGGGTCTGAGTCTGCCACCCTGTGCTCCAGTCCTGGAGGCAAATGAATGGCAGGGTGGGCACGGAGACCCCTGTCGACCCCTGGGGCTGCGCTTCTGCAGAGCAGGCTGCCCCGCCGGGCCCCCAGGGGTCAGTGGAGGACAGGGACTGCCCGTGCCAGGTGTCTGGGATGGGGGCCCCTGTGCCGCCTGGCGTGTTCCAGGCTCCTGAGAGGTGGTGTGTGTGTGTGGGGGGGGGCAGGGCTCTGGAGGGAAGAAGAAGGAGCCTTTTAAGGAAGTATTTCTCTGCTTTAGAAAAACAAAACAAAACATAGAGAGGAAGACAGGAGGCTGAAACATGACCGAGTCCGTGGGCCAGTTTTGGGCTGGCCTGAAATGCGTGCTGAGGGCGCAGGGCATGACTGCTGTACCCCCTGTCCCCCGGTCAGATCCAGGCTCCTGGGGGTCAGGCAAGGGGTTCAGTGGCTGAGCCCCCTAGGGGCCTCCTTCCCACGGAGTAAGCCTCCTAATGCGACTTGCTCCTCCCCCGCCCCACTGTCTCAGTCCACGTGTCTCGTGTCCACGGGGAGGTGCGGGGTGGGCTCTGGGCGGCTGTGGCAGTGTGTGCTCCTGAGGCTCTGTCCCCTGTGGGGTGGGCAGTCCTGCTCGGGTTCTGAGACAGGAGCCCCGCCAGACTGTGACCTGTCACACACCCGGGGGCCTAGGTACTGGAGTGAGCGGGGGAGGTGTCCTAGGGGCCATGATGGGAAGCCATGCTGTGCCCAGCAGTGTCCCCTGTGGCTCTGACCTTGTTTGGTGAGCCGGGCAGGCAGTGTGCCCTGCAGGCTACAGGCAGATCTGGGAACCTGCTGTTCCCTCACGGACAGGGAGATCCCTTCAGGGTATTTACAAGGCAGTGTGCCTTGTAAATCAGCCCCTCTGAGGCTCCAGACTTGTGGATCTGGAGCCGTGGGCTTCAGAAGCAGCTCCTGTGTCTCTTCACTCCTAAACACAAGGCTGAGAGTGGCAAGGTCCCTTCATGTTTGGAGCATCAGAATGCTCAGGTTCAGATCTCAGCCTCTTGGAAGCTGTGTGACCTTGGGGAAATTGTTTAACTTCTCTGTGCCCCACACTGTGTCTTCCTTGTTGGGTTGTTGAAAGCATTCATAACTTAACCTATGTGAAACATTCAGGAAAGTGCCGGTTGCTTAGTACCCGTTCATCAGTGTTAGGTATGGTGTGTGTGTGTGTTTGCACGTGCACACATGCACGCACACACGTGTGCATGTATAGTTGCCTCCTCGAAGGCTCTCTCCCTCACCCCCATGCTTCCTCCCTGTCCCCTTGTGGGTCGCTGGCCTGGTGTTTGGGTGGAGAATTAACACCAGGGTTGACCATTGAGCTCTAAGAAAAACTTGCCCTGGCTAGAAAAGGAGCACACAGAATCGGACCAGTGCCCCCAGTGATTGTTGGGGTGTCCTGAGCTGTCATGTCATGAGCTTCCTTCCCTCCTTCTCATCCTCCTTTCCCCTCTCCTTCCCTCCCTTGTGTCCTTTGAGCAGAGCTTGAACTCAGGGCCTGGGCGCTGTCTCTGAGCTTCTTTGGCTCAAGCCTAATACTCTGCCACTTGAGCAATAGCACCACTTCAGCCTTTCATGAGTCTATTGGAGATGAGAATCTTACAGACTTTCCTGCCTGGGCTGGCTTTGAACCCTGATCCTCAAACCTCAGCCTCCTGAGTAGCTAGGATTACAGGCGTGAGCCACCGGTGCCCAGCTAAGGTCTCCTATGGTTGCTTGGCTTTTTTTTTTTTTCCTCAAGGCTGGGGCTGAATCACTTGAGCCACGTCTCTACTTCTGGCTTTTTGCTGGTTAATTGGAGGTGAGTCTCTCAGTTTGTCTGCCCCAGCTGGCTTTGAATGTTGGTCCTCAGATCAGCCTCCAGAATAGCTGGTATTACAGGCGTGAGCCACAGGTACCTGGATCTTCTGTCGTAATTCCAGGCGTGGGGAAAGGAGGTAGGAGGGTTGGAAGAATGAGGTTTGAGGCAGTGTCAAAAACAAAACCTTGCGAGTAATGTTGACCTCAAATCAGCGTCTGATCCCTTTTGCAGGATTTGAATTCTGATGTGCGTTTCGTGTGTGGTCTGTGCCTCCTTCGTGGCTTAGTAACACTGTCTGTGTCGGTGGGCTTCTGAAGATCCCTAGGGGCTCAGGGCTGGCCGCGGGGGTGCGGGGGGGGGGAACTGTCCTTCATGGGGGTGGGAGTGGCTCAGGCCTCAGGGGCCTGGCGTCTGCCCAGGAGAGATGCTAACTGCCTGTCTCTGCTCCTCCCACAGGTGGCTGCCCCGTGTGTTCCTCCGTCCAGCCATGAACTGGTGGTGAGTGATGGGCCGTGTCTCCCCCTGCTGACTCCTTGCTTTGGACCCAACTAGATGAGGCGGGGCGGAGGAGGGTCCTCCATTCCTGGGCTGAAGCTGGATGGGAGGAAATGAGTCACGAGGTTCTCTTGGATGAGACATAGGGCCTGCTCTTTATAAGACGCGGAGGCCTTGGAAACCCCCATAAAAGGCCATCGTGCGTCTCGAGGCCTGGCCGGCAGACAGGGTTGAGAGGCCCGTGCCCTGGGCGTCTCCCTCCACCTGTCTTCCTCCAGGTCAGGCGTCCTTTGGTGGGAAGTCCGTCCACCTGGTTCGTTCCTGCGTCCAAGCTGGGCTCTGCTTTCCTGCTGTCTCTGGCCACATACCGCACACAGGCTTCCAGAAGGGCCTGGATGGGGCAGGACCCCCTGGGAGATGTGGGCTGCGGAGCGACCTCTGCTCAGACACATCCCAGCTGGGGGGCAGGCCTCAGGGGGAGAGGGGGGCTGCCTGGGAGGGGTCTGCACACCTGCGTGTGCACATGCGTGTGCCTGTGCTGGGTGGTGTGTCACATAGGAGTGTTTGGAGGCGCAATCTGGTAGGCGTAGGGGGGGGCCTTGGAGGTAGTGCTGATGGCGGGGTAGAAACAAGGACACAAGTGCTTTTAGGCCCCAGACTCCAGGAGGGCCCAGGACACTGTCCTCACACTCTGCTTCCTGGCCAGGCCCTGCCCTGTGTTGACTTCTCCATAGAGCCCAGTCCTCCTCTTGGGCCTCAGCTGCCCAGAGGTGCATTCCAGCTGTGGAGTCTTAGCTACATGGAGCCCTGTTGAGGGTCATGGGGTAAAGAATAGCAGGGTAGGGGCTGAACGGTCTGGTCTGGCTGAGAACTAGCAGGGGGGTGGGGGTGGGAGAGGGAGAGAAGGGGGGAAAGGAGGGAGGGAGGGAGAGAGATATCTGTGGGGTCACAGCTGGCTGCTGAGAGGGGGGAGTCGCTCTGTGATTCTGCAGAGCTACCTACCACCTTGTGACCCTGGAATGGAATGTCCTTGGCTGGTTTGGGAGGCGGAAGGGTCCAGGGGTTCGTGACCACTGGGCAGAGGCCAGATTCTGGCGCCTGAGTCTGGGGAGGCTTGTTTATGGAGGCAAGGTCACAGGTCGGGACGAGAGGGCAGAGGCTGGCATTCCACAGGAGGGCCTGCGGCTTGTTAGCATCCAGAAACACTCTCGCCCGCCCAAGTCGGGTCAGGAGGCTTGGCCTGTCCGTGACATGTTCCACCCGTGCAGGGGGCTCTGCCTGGCCCGGGAGATGGACAAGGGAGGAAGCAGCTGCCGGGGGACACCTCGATTTGACTGTGTTCCTAAAGCTTCTTTCCCCGATGCAGAACCTGCCTCCCCAACTTTAGTTAGCGTCTGGGAAGTCCCTCCTTCTGCGTCCCTGCTACTCTATCGTCTATGTTCAGCTGTGTGATGCTGAGCCCATTGCCTGGCGTCTCCGATCATCCACAGTTTCCCTTCTTCAGAATGGGAGCTAGTAATAGTACCTACCTTGTAAAGTTGTCAAAAGAACGAAATGAGTGCCAGGCATAGTGGCAAATGCCTGTAATCCCAGCTACTTGGGAGGCAGAAGTGAGGGGGAGTAAAGTTTGGCCTGGGGCAAAAGTGAATAAAAGAAAACAAACTAAGTAGGGTGCTTAGCTTGTGGCTAAACTTAGCTTGTAGCTGAGTGGCTCACACCTGTAATCCTAGCTACTCAGGAAATCAGATCTGAGAATTGTGGTTCGAAGCCAGCTGGGGTAGGAAAGTCGGTGAGACTCTTATTTTGAATTTAAAAGAACGAAAGCAAGCTCAAACTATCTGCAAAAGGACCGAGAGCTTGTAGCCTGAGTGGTAGAGTGCTTGCCCAACTAGGTAAGTCAAAATCCAGAGTCCAATCCCCAGTACTTATCAAGAAAACAAAAAAGAAAGACTAGAGAAGAAAGCAAATGAATTCACTGTATCTATGTTCAAAAGCTTCTCACCTCACGTGGAGTAAACCCCTAAGTTTCCTTTCTTACCCCGTCTCTTTCTAAAGGCTGTCTCTGTTCTAGCTACCTAGCCTTCTTGCTGATCTTACAGTGTGGCAGGCACACGGCTACTACCTCCGGACTTCTGCACTTGCTGGTCCCTAGTCCACACTTCCTGTGGATTCTAGGGAGACTTTCTCCACTGCCAACATTTCCCTCCCCCAGTCAGCCTATCTCCCTATCCTTGCCCTTCCCCTTCCCCTTAGCACTTACCACCTCCAGTGCCCTGTGTGCTTTGCTTATTTTTATCTCTTATAAGGGGTTGTGTCCACAGGAGCACATCAAACTCCTTTAGGATAAGGGGATTTTGTTTTTTTATCTTATTATTATTATTATTTGGCTTCTTGCTGTCCACTGTCTTGTACACAGTAGGTGCTCAGACATGTTATCCGAGCGTCTGGGAGGAAGGTGCCCAGGTCTGATGTCTGGCTTGGCAAATGATTCACAGCGGGCTAGGGTCTGTGCCTTGGCTGGAAGCTCTGTTGCTGTCCCCAGTGAGCACAGGGGAGAGTGTGCCCCTCCCCCCAGCACTCAGGGGAAAGTGTGGCTCCCCCACCCCCACCCCTAGTGCGCTCAGCACCTGTTTCCTCACTACCCACTCTGTGGCAAGTGCTTATAGCAGGTTCACAAGAGGGAGGAAGGGCGGATTTGTATTTTTCCTTCCTTTTCCATCTCTGCTTGCCCTTGAGCCTGACTGGGCAGGCCTCTGCTCCCCTCCCCCTCCCTTCCTCTTTCCCTCCCCCCTCCCTGTCCATCCATTTCCTGTGTCCTCTCACAGTGAGGTCCAGGCTCCCCATAGGTGGGCCTCACTGACCTTGATGAATCCCTTGCATTCGAATCCTTCATTTTGGACCCAGAATCTCTGCCCAGTGCCAGGCCCTGCTGCCCAAACATATTTTCCAGCCAGTGCCCAGCCGGCCAGGGAGGGTAGCAGGGCTTAATCTTCAACCAGGGTGTTCATCTGACTCAACAGATGTTGCCTAAGAGCTTGGCATTGGGCAGAAGGGTCCCGGGGCTTCCCTCCCTCCCCCAAGGGAGGCTAGGGGTCAGGGTGGAGGGGAGAGGGCTAGCGACGAGCTGAAGTAGCTTTTCTCAGCAGCTAAAATAAAAAACAAAACCAGTCCCAGCAATTTCCAGATGACCATAGCCAACTGGAGTAGATACCAAGGTAGCCCCGAGGCTGGGGTACCCAGGACAGGCAGGAGAGCAGGCAGGCTCTTGAGGTGGACTTGAGATGGAAGTTGAGGCAGGAAGCTGATTGGGGGGAGGGAGGGTGTCGGGGGAGATGGGAGGGAGGTTGGGGGAGGAGAGACCCTAATCCCCCCTCACCCCCACCCCGCCTTGTCCAGGTTTCACTTTGCTTCTGCTGTGTTCAGTTACTGGAGGTCTGAAAATCTTAAGTGGAAAATTCCAGCAATAAATAAGCAATTCAGAAGTTTAGTGTGTGTGTGTGTGTGTGTGTGTGTGTGTGTGTTTCTGAGTAGCAGTGATGAAATCTTACATTTGGTTCTGTCCTGCCAGGGCTGAGTGTGGTCCCTTTCTCCCCAGGGTATCCAAACCCACTGGGCCACCCACCCGCCGGTCAGCTGGTCACCATGGTTGAATCCACTGTGGTGGAATCTCAGCGCCTGTGGGGCCTGGTAGCTTTGATTTTATTTCACAGTGGTCCAAAGTGCACCAGTTGTGATCCTGGCAATGTGGATTTGCCACAGAGAGCCTCAGACCAGTGAAAGGGCAGAAGTCCTCCCTGTATATTCAGGATTCAGTCTGGTCTGTGGGGGGCTGGAGTCCGAGGAGGGCTTGGAACTTTCGCTTGTGGATGGGGCTACCATGTGAGCAATGGAGAAAAGCTTTACAAAAATGAGCCCCCCTCTCCCCCTTTTATTTGGCCAGTCCTGAGGCTTGAACTCAGGGGCTGGGCACTGTCCCTGAGCTCCTTTTGTTGAAGGCTAGCACTCTACCACTTGAGCCACAGTGCCACTTCCTGCTTTTTCTGTGATTCAATTGGAAACAAGAGTCTCATAGACTTTCCTGGCCCTGGTTGGCTTTGAACATCGATCCTCAGATCTCAGCCTCCTGAGTAGGTGGGATTACAGGTGTGAGCTACTGGCACCCAGCCTAAAATGAGCTCTTTATCCATACCACATAGTCCTAGAAAGAGGGGCTGTGCTGTGTTCTTATGAAGAGCAGAGGCCAAAGGCCAAGAGCTGCTACCAAAGAGGGTTGTCGCATAGTGGTAAAGTGCTTAGGCCTAGCAAGCACAAGGCCTTGGGTTCAAGCCTCAGCACTACAAAAGGAAGACTGGGATTTCAACTCAGTCATCTGATACCTGAGTCCTCTCTATCAGTGCCTCTAGCTGGCTAGCCCTCTGAGCAGCAGACGCTTCCTGGCCTCTGCAGTGGGCCAGCCCCTCTTCTGTTCCAAGCCTAACCCTCAAGTGTTTCCTCCTACCACTTCCTAAGATTGCCCTTTTAAGTTAGTGGCCCTAGAAAATTTCCTTTATTTTTGTCAGATAGGGTCTTTTTTTTTGCCCAGGCTGGTCTAGGACTATGATCTTCTTACCTCCACCTCCCATGGTGCTGGGATTTCAGGTGTGTACTGCCAGGCCCAGCTTGTTTCATGAAATAGAGGTTGTTACTAACTTGTTTTGTTTTGCCAGGACTAACCTTGATCGCTGCCTCCTGAGTAGCAGGGATTACAGGTGTAAGCTTCTGGAAGAATACTTTTTTCCTTAGTTTTAATTTTTTTTTAAGAATTGTTATCATAAAGGTGAGATACAGAGGGGTTAAGATTACAGAAGACAGGTAATGAGGACATTACTTTTTGGATCAAAGAATATATTTTTTTTAATGAGGAAAAAAGAAAAAGCTGCACTCCAAAGTAGAACTTGGCAGTTGAAGTTGTTAAAGAAGGGAACTTTCTAACATGTACTTGCTGGGGGCTGGTGTTTGTAACT